ACCCAGACAGTGCCTCCCAGACCAACTGTTCAGTCATTCATTTATTCATTCATAAACCCAGTGATTATTTATTGTGCCAGACACTCTGCTAAGTGCTTTGTGGCAGATACAAAAAAAATTATGGCAGTCTCTGCTCCCCAGGAACTTGATCTAGTGGGGGGAAACAGACATATCAACAAACAGGTACAATATATTGTGGAAGTTGTATTTATAGTGGTGTGTACAAAGTACCACAGGCAGAAAAGGGGCTTCCAGGGAGCCCTGCCAGGGAGAGTTAAGAAAGATTTAACAAAGGAGTTGACATTTGAACCAATCCTTGAAGGATGAATAGGTGTTTACAGCAGGAAGAGTGGACGTGTCAGAGGGCAGGACCTGTTTGGAAATTGATATGACTGGAATGTAGAACACTTGCTCCAACCTCAGGGCCTTCTGCCAGAGAAGGTAGAGGACTGCCTGGGTCACAGAGCAAGTGAGTGGCAGAGACAGGGTAGCAGAGGAAAGTAGAATTGTCTGGCCCCAAAACATATCCCCTACCTTCCAACCCTCTAATTTGCATGCAAGCGCACATACACACACTCATACACATACTCTGCCAGGTCCCACCTCAATGTTCCTGTCTCAGAGGCTGTCATTGGACCAGCCCACCCCCCACACACCCCTCTTAGGGGTCATCCCTGCCCTCTGAGAATTGTCACAGTGACCCTGGTAGGGAAGCAAAGCCCAGAGAAGGCACTAGTACAGTCTGCCCCCTCAGCCACCATGTGTCTTACTCCAGTCAAGCATTTGGTCCTGATCCAGACATTTGCCTAGTTCCTAGATCCTAGCTCCTGACTGCCCTTCAGAGCGGGTCTTGATTGCTGAGGTGCTGCTCAGGTCTCAGAGAGGAGCGGGGTAAACCACGTTGCTAGCCCTTTACTGAGGAGGAGCTAGTTTTAATTTCCTCAAGCCTTAGAAGGTTGATGTGGGTTTGCATCAAAGGTCCCCTATTCCTTACTTCCAATCATCATAGGCAGCAATGAAGTCAGGAGGGGCGAGTATTCTTCAATTCTGTGCTCACGTAGAGCTGGGCGCTAAAATACCCTCAGTCAGCTGACCTGACCTGTGTCAGCCCTGTCCAGAGACCCTGGGTCATTTCTCAGATGTTTTCATTCAACTCAATGAGATATTTAGAAAACTAATAGAGTCCAGTAGCTGGGAGGAATTGGATGTATTTTAGATTGGTACCACACCTCTTTTTGGAATTGTTCGGGGCAGCTCATAGATTAAATGTGTTTTTAAGTCAGAGTTTTAAGGTGGAAACATAACTTGGTGGTCTGAAGGAGAAAGAAAAGGAATCCCTACTTCCAGGTACCACTATTTAAGCTTATATCTATTTGCCTGAAAGGTTCCTGGTAGAAAGGACAAGGAACCCCATTGGGCTACCCAGTTCCTTTTTCGTATACTTTAAAGCTTACATAATCTCCTTTCAGAAGACATTCTCCTCAAGCTGAAAGTTGGTGTTAGGAAAGTCTAGTGACAGAGTCAAGAGTATGTAATCCATTTTAGCTGTCGTTGCACCTGTGACTACTAGGCCCTCTGCGGTAGTCCCGCTGTCCTGTGAGAGATGACCATGTCCATATGTCACCCAGTAGAAAATAGTCTTTTTTTTTTTTTTTTTTTGGTTTTTTTTTTTTTTTCCAGTACCGGGAATTGAACTCATGACCGTGTGCTTGCCAGGCAGGCACTGTGCCACTGAGCTAAATCCCCAGCTCCCAGAAAATAGTCTTGATCATGATAAGTGTTCTGCCCTCCACCCGACCCACAATGATGGGCTCTTGGTCCAGGTAGAATATGGGAGGGCAGAATAAGTTGATTTCAAAAGACAGAAAGGCTCTAAACCATGTTTGCTACTTGATTTTACAAAAGGTAACAGAAACACCATCTGAAGGATAACAAGGGCTGAGAATGTAGCTCAGTGGGAGAGAGCTTGCCTAGGATGCACCAGCCCCAGGGATCCATCCCCAGTACCAAAAGCGGAAAAAAAAAAAAAAAAAAAAATATCTGAAGGGTTTTTTTGTTGTGTTGTGTTGTGTTTTTTTTTGTTGTTGTTGTTGTTTTTGAGACAGGGTCTCACTATGTAGTTCAGACTAACTTTGAACTCACTGTGTAGCCTAGGCTAGTCTTGAACTCTCCATGATTCTCCTGCCTCAGCCTTATGAGTGCTGGAATTACAGGGATATGCCACCATGCCTGACCTGAAGGGTTTTTAAGTGATTAGTAGGCATCAGATACATTCATTCATTTCATCTTAACAAAAAACCTATGAAGGAGGAATTGTTATCTATATTTCCAGCTAAGCCACTGAAGTTCATTTTGCCCAGGGCCGCCCAGCTGGAATTGGTAAAGTCAGGGTTCATCTCAGGACTGTGCCTTTCTCCTTCTACCATCCTGTGTCTTCATTCTGAAATGCTGAACGTTTGCATAAAGGAGGGCATGGAGTAGGACCTTCTGACTATGAGAATACAGTGCTGGGACTTAGGGCTTTGAGGATGTGACTTCCCCTGGGGCTAGAAGTTGGGGCGCCCGGGTGAATGGAGGGGTAACTTGTCAGTTTCCCTGCCATTTCCATATGTGCGTGTTTTATTTGAGCTTTGTGGTTGGTTCTGGGTCATAGTCAAGTCACAAGTGATTCCCTGTAATATGTCCAACTTGGGCACAGGTGATAATGTGTCACGTCTCTCCACTTCCCTCCTCTCCGCTCACTGATCCCCCCAATTCTAGCCATTTTGAATGCTGCTCAGGTTTGCCATGCTCTTCCACACCTCCACTCACTGGCACTTGCTGTATCCTTTAAGATTTAAATCCCCATCAGGAAGCTCTCCCTGAGCTCCCCTTTCTCCCCGCCTCACTGCCCTCCCCTTTCTCTCACAGAATCCTGTGTGCACACACTTTGCAGCACCGTATCCTCATCCTGGGTTGTCCTTCAGTCTGGGTTCCTTATCCATCAATGTCCCCCAGGAACCTTGTGCAGGGCTTAGGGTGTAGGAGCGCTCAGTAATGCTTGTTGAGTAGACATGAGGAACAGCTACTGTGTCCAGAACTTTCCCGGGCACTGGCTGTACAGAGATGAGGACGACACACACCCTCCCCTTGAGGAGCCGAGTTAGAAACTGGAGGAGACTGATATGTAGTGATTGAAACCCAACTTCATAAGATCCATAATATCTTACAAAGATGTTATAAAGGGCTTGGGGAGCACAGAGGAGTGAGAAAATAACTTAGCCTGGGAAGTCTTCCAGAGGTGTAATTTATGAGCTTGGGCTGAACATTAAAATATGAAAGATTTTTACCAAACTCAGAATACTAGGCAGAGAGAAAAGCATGCACAAAAGCATGAGCAAGAATCAATGTTTGGGGAACTGGAAGAAGTATTCATATTCTATCTCATCATTCAGAGTGAAAACATGTTTTACATACCAAATGGGGGAGAGGTAAAGTTGTCACTCTGTTGTGGATGTTTTAAGACTATATTATTCAGGGCTGGGGATGTAGCTCAGCAGCACAGCGCCTGCCTGGCAAGCGTGAGGCCCTGGGTTCAATTCCCAGTGCCAAAAAAAAAAAAGACTATATTATTCTGACAATTTTGTTTTTAATCCGTCAAATGGATTTTATTGCAAGGCAATAGGGATGGTATAGTCACTTTCTTATTTATAGATTCTAGTCTGCCTCCTTCCAAAAATAGTTTAATTTGACTTGTGATAAAAAGACACATCCACGACAAGGCTGTTCATATAGAAATAAGAAACAAAACCTATAGATAGGAAGGGAAGAATACCATTTCCCAAAGCGCTTTTTCCTTCTTTCGCTCACTTGATGTTCAGGTGTTCAGGATGAGGGTGAGATGGGATTTTCTGGCCTTCAGCCTGGCATTAGGAGTGCGCTCGAAAATGTGGATTCAGTGATCACACAGATACTTTCCCTGTTTGCCAGGGGTGCCACAGATACTTCTTGGTACTTTCTCTTCCTTTTGTTTCCATCCTTGCACACTTTTGAGTGGAAATAATCATCTTTACTTTGTGATCCTCCTGACACATTGCTTGTTAGTTCTTCATTCAAACTTCTTTCGGATTCTCTTGTCTTCTTGAAGTTTTTCCTTATTTATGTATTTATTTATTAATTTATTTATTTACTGCCTTTTTGAGACAGGGTCTCACTATGCAGTTCAGGCTGGCCTTGAACTCACTTATGTAGCCCAGTCCTCCACCTCGGCCTCCTAAGGGCTGGAATTACAGGCGTGTGCCACCATGCCTGGTATTTTTCCTTTTTTAAAACTTAGGAAACAGAAAAGCACAAAATGAAATCCCCTGTGATACTCCAGCCCAAGGATTAAAAAAAAAAAAAAAAAAGACTTTCAAAGGGTCTGGAGAGGTAGCTCAGTGGCAAAGCTGTACAATTAGCACATGCGAGGTCCTGGATTCCATCCCCAGCACATGTGTACACACATACATTCATACAAACATGCACACATACATACATGAATATTGAACTTTCAGAAAAGTTTTCAAGATTAGGACAAAAAATTTCTGAATATCCTTTACCTGGATTCCCCAACTGGTTTTTTTTTTTTAATCCTCCTGCCTCAGCCTCCCAAGTACTGAGATTACAGGCATGTACATTTGACTACATTTGCTTTATCTAGCTATCTCTGTTTTCTATCCCTAAATATATTTATATATTTATTTCTGAACTCATTTTAAGAATAAGTTGCAAATATAATGCACTCTCATTTAAGATTACTTCACCGTGTATTTGCTAAAAACAAGGAATTCCCTTACATAACAGGTATTTTTATATACAACTATTATTTATTTAGATTTAAATTTAAGAATGCATTGCTGGTTGGTGGCTCATTCCTGTAATCACAGCACTAGGGAGGCTGAGGCAGAAAGATCACCATGAGTTCAAGGCCAGCCTGTACTACACAGGGAGACCCTGTTTAAAAAAAAAAAAACAAGAATGCATTGTTTGTTTATATTTATTATAATGGCTTGCTTTTGAGGGGAAATAGTTTAGCAATAAAAATGTATACAACCTCCTCCCAACAGACATTCTCAAACGTGATGCTTTGTCAGACTCTAATTTTAGACACTATGAATTTCTGGTGGACACATTTCCACAGATCACTCTCCTTCGGAGAATTAACTATTTTCAGGTTCTGGCCTGTTGGTTTTATATCAGTGGAAAGTACTGAATCAATGAATAAAGAAGCAGGGGAGGGGAAACCTTTGAACGAAAATTTATCTTTATTCTGTAGCCAGTGGAGAGCCAGCGAAAAGTTGACAGCAGGCAAGTGAGCCAATCAGAGTTGTGTTTTCTGGAGGTTAATCGACAGCATCTGTAGGATGCAGTGAAGGGGGAAGACATCAGAACATGGGTGTGTAAGCCACGGGGGAAGTGTTCCCTAGTTTGAAGGGCAAATCGACACCCGGGTAGACTGGAGCCTTCCCCAGCATAATGCATCCTATTCTTTCCCCTGTCTTTCAGAACTGGTTAAAGTCATACGGCTATCTGCTTCCCTATGATTCCCGGGCATCTGCGTTGCACTCAGGGAAGGCCTTACAGTCAGCGGTCTCCACTATGCAGCAGTTTTATGGGATCCCAGTCACCGGTGTGTTGGATCAGACAACGATCGAGTAAGATTTGCGTAGGACGTTGTGCCTTTGAACTTTGGGTTCACATACATCACAGCCTTGTGTACGCACCATACCCATTCAACTTCCCTATCCTTTATTCCGACAATGCCATCCTGGGAGGAAACACCGGAAAGTGTACTTGGTTATTTGAGCTGGGGGTGTGCTGGGATAGGAGTCCCACCTCTGCCAGTAACTTGATATGTGACCGTGGAGCCAAGGCACTTAACCCTCCTGGGCCTCAGTTTACTTGCCAGTACAATGAGGGACTGTGTCATAGGCAGTATCTTAAATCTTCTTTGTTCCAGTTTTACGGTTCTATGAGTCACCCTGTGGAGTTCCCTGAGATATACACATCTCACTTCATACAGAGAACTCTTGAAAGATACTGGGTTGGCAACTTTTGTTCCACTTTTCCCATTTACCAAATGCCTGCCTAGACGGGCTGGGCATGTGGTTCAGCAGGAGAGCTCTTGCCTTGCATCACAAGGCCCTGGGTTCAGTCCCCAGCACCATAAAGAAACAAAAACAAAACAAAACAAAACAGAACAACCTGCTGTCTGCCTGCATGCTCTAGGAACAGTGCTTGCCCTGGCACCCTGACCTTTGGAAGCTTACCCTGTTTAGTAAAAAACACAGTGGTCTGGCCACACCAGCCTAGAACACAGAAGCAAACAGAGTGTCAGGGAGCTACTGTGGAGGTAGCAGTGAACACAACAAGCCATGAGGTTGGCTGCAATCACACAGAAAAAGCGTAAAGAGGATGAAGAGAAGAGGTATAGGGATAGAGCCACACAAAGCTGGCCTCACAGGAGTGATGGGAGCCGGGGAGGAAGCCCTAGGTGATGTGGAATCACAGCAGTGAAAGGGCTGTGGTCCGCAGGGTCAGCTGCTACAGAGTGGTCTAACAGGACAGTGACTAAAAGCCATTTGTAGGTTTAGTAACAAAGAAGTTGTCAGCAGTCTCAGTAGATCCGGGCATGGTAGTCCACACCTGTAAGCCCCGCTCTCCCAAGGCTGAGGCAGGAGGATCCACGCCAGTTCAAGGCCGATCTGGGATAAATGAGTTCAAGGCCAGACTGAACAACATAACATAGTGATACCCTGTTTCAAAAAACCAAACAACCCCCCACCAAATAAAAAAACCTCGATAGAATGGTGGAGGTAAAGTTAGATTGCAGAGAGGAAAAGGGAGGTGAAGCATTGAGAGGGCAAATGGAGTGAAAAATTGGGGAAATCCTCAGAGCATAGGGAAGGAGAGGTGAGTGGTACCCAGAGAAGGAGTAAGTTTTGATTGCTGGTTGTTTGTTTAAGATGGGGGAGAGCTGAGCATGCTTCAGTTTGTTTAAAGATAGCAAGGTGGGCTGGGGATGTAGTTCAGTGGTAGCTTACTTAGTTAGCATGCAGAAGGTCTTAGGTTCGATCCCCAGCACCACACATTTTTAAAAAGAAAGAAAAGAAATAGCTGTGGAAGCTACTCCAGCTGTTGAAGAAGTGCCCTCACTCCCTGAAGGCATGGGAAAGAGCTAGAGTGGGTTCCGAAGGCAATGCAAAGGGACGTGGGCTGAGCTCAGATGGGAGCAGCCGGCAGGGCCGGGGACAGACGCAGGGGGTTGGGGGACAGAACAGGAACTGCACCCAACTGTGGATTAAGGGCCAGCTCATCCCTTGAGTAAGTTGCTTCATGACAGAAGCATCTCCGGGTCTCAGCACGTTCATTTGCACACTGGAATTTGTCTTTCAAATTTGGTTTCTGTCCTTCTAAATTTCTAAGCTTTTAAAACTTGGTGAGTGCGGGGCATGGTGGTGGATGCTTGTAATCCCAGCACTTGGGAGGCTGAAGCAGGAGGATCACTGTGAGTTCAAGACCAGTTTGGGGAACTGGGGGTATAGCTCAGAGTCCCAGCGCCTGCCTGGCAAGCACAAGGTCCTGAGTTTGATTCCTGGTACAAAAAAAAAAAAAAAAAAAAAAAAAAAAAAAAGACCAGCTTAGGCTACATAGTGTGTTCAAAGCCAGCCTGAACTACAGAGTGAGACCATGTCTAAAAAATAAATAAGTAAATTTTAAAAATTGGTGAGTTTAGGGCTTTATGATGGTAAAAATCTGTCCAAACATCTCATATTCCTAGGATTTTGATTTGAAATGCTGAGATAGTATGTTCAGTGCCATGAGTGGCCTCGCCCCCCCTGCCCCCCCCCCCCGTGGCCTCCTGAGTGAGCTGAGGAGCACGTTGCCCTTCCCTGGGAGGTTACCGTGAGGCCTCAGCGCAGCCCGCTTGGCCGTGTTCCCTGGGCCAGGAGCCCCGGTGTGAGGCACCACCTGGCCCTGGCTTTTACTCCATCCCACACACCCCAGGTCTGCTGGACAAAGTTCAGAGAGTGTCGGGTGGATGGGGCAAGGAGGAGGCAGAGGGGAGGATCTGAGGGAACAGACTGGCTTTCCCACTTGCACTTCTACCCGTACTGCTATGTAGGAAGGTAGGAGAGCAGGGTTTTGGAAACACGGAAGGAGGGAGCTGCTCACACCTATTCCAAGACCTGAGTTGGTATTTGGGGTAGAATTCAGAGACCTGAGCTCCTGCTCTGACTCCGGGACCTAGGGCCACCGCTGCCTTTCTTTGGGGCCTGTCTTTCCCCTAGTGGCCCTTCCAGATCGAACTTAGCAACAGCAGAGGTAGCTCTTGATTGTCTTCCTGAGGACTTTTAATGAAGGAAAGCTAGATTCGCATTTTCAAGTACTATGTTTGAATATCTACCTTGGGAAATGCGACGCATTTATTCATCCACTCATTCACTGAGTCAACTGTGCAGTTCCTCTAGCTCAACCTTGTGATAAGCACTGAGAGAAAAATACAAGCTCCAGCCTTTGCTGGCTAAATTGTGTTTAATAGTTCACTTATTAATTCAGCTCAGTTCCAGCCCCACCTCACCATTTTCTGTTTTGTAAATGACTTGATTGATATGGATATCTTTTCTTTCACCTGGAAAATGGGAATAATAATTTCTGGTTACCTCACAGGGCTGTTTTAAGAATCAAATATTCTAAAAGATGATGAACGCTGTGAAAATGATGAATGTTTAGATCAAGGCTCTGCCGTCATTATGTCTTTATTATTGGTGTGTGATTGCGGGTCACTCTCTAGGCAACATGGAGCACACAAAGATGAGGAAGACTTGGCTCATTCCCTCAAGGGACTTTTATATTTGGTTAAAATCGCTTCCTTCTTCTCCTCTCCGTAGTGCCTACGGCAACTGCTTTAACAGCTGCATATGAGGTCAGACTCCTTTCCCTTCCAGCCATGCCAAGCTATGGTTTGATGGCCGGTCATTAGGCCAGCACAGAAACAGAAATGCAGAATGCCTGGGCCCCCGTCGGGCACGGCTTTTCAAATCTCCTACCCTGGCACCTTTTTCTTAAAACCCAATGATGTTGCAGGCTTACTGCTGCCTGATGTAACCCTACCTGATAACTGTTACCAGAATTCCCTTACCTGCGTGCACTGGGGAAGCCTCCAGAGACACAAGAGTGAGTACGAGCATGGTTCCTGCCCCCAAAGAAGTCACCATTTATTAGAAGCAACAGATTAGTAGACTTAAAATCAAAGTACAATGTACTTTGCTGTAAAGAATTATGTTGCGAGTCCTGTTGCTGTTTAGTGATTTCTGGAACACATAGTGAAAGGGAATCTTCTGTCTTCCACACTAGTCCATCCTACTGTTGGAGAATTCTGATTCATTCATCAGTCAGTCAGTCAGTCAGTTAGCAGTCAACAAATCTTTTTTTTTTTTTTTTGCGGTACTGGGGATCGAACTCACAACCTTGTGTTTGCCAGGCAGGCGCTTATGCCACTGAGCTATATCCCCAGCCCAACAAATCATTATTGAACCCCTTTTGTGTCAGACACTGAGCCAGCCCTCAGGATACAGGCCATGCTCCTATCTTAATGGAGCTCAGATAGGGTGAGAGAGACCAAGAATAAACAGATCTATAATGTCAGGTAGTTATGAATGCTATGAATATAAATTAACCAAGACAAGCAGATAATAGTGGGACAAGAGGATCTACTTCAGATGGAATGGACGGGGAAGTCCTCTCTTAGGGCAGACACTTCAGTGACATAAAGGAGCAAACCACAGGGAGAGGAAGTAAATAAAAGGAACAGCAAGCACAAAGACCTTGGAGTAAAGCTGGGCCTAGGAGCATACAACTATAATCCCAGCACTCGGGAGGCTGAGGCAGGAGGATCACTTCAAGTTCAAGGCTAGCCTGGGCTGCATAGTGAGTTCAAGGTCAGCATGAGAGACCCTGTCTCAAAAAACAAACAAAAAGACAGAGAAGAGGCTTAGCACATTCAAGGAACAGCAGGAAGCTCACTGTGTCTGGTGCACAGTATTTAGAAGACAGGTAGGCAGGGGCTGGGTCATGCAGGCTCTTGAAGGCCCAGTGAGAAGTTGGGATTTTCTTCTAGATGTTTTGCGAAGTCACCAGGAAGTACTGTGGTCTAATAGCATTTACATAGCACATTTCACATACACTCCTGAGATTCCCTGACCCCAAGAGCAGCAAGAACTCCAATTCTCATGTTGGAGATGAGGAAACTGAGGTTCGTGTTGATTATGTCACTTATATGGGGTCCTAGATTAGTGGTGGAGCCAGAACTTAACAAGCCAGGTCTCCTGATTTCTCTGACTTCTCTCTTTTTCTCTCTTTCACCATCTACATGGTTTCTTCCTTTTTTTTCTCTTTTTGAGACAGGGTCTCACTATGTAGTTCAGAAAAGCCTTGAACTCACTATGTAGCCCAGGCTGCCCTCAAACTTGAGGTGATCCTCCTGCCTCAGCCTTCCGAGTTTGGGGATTACAGGAGTGCACCATCACACCCAGCTGATACCCATATCTTATTCAATAATGTTTCTTCATATTTGATTGCAAGTGAATGAATTAATGAGTCAGTCAGTCAAGTTCCTGTTAGGAGCCATCAAAGCCAGGACCCTAGAATCTATGTTTAAAATGCACGCTGCCATTCAGACTTGGACTGGGTATGTGATGTCTTCCTCGTGTGTTCAGGGACCATGATACATATATGTGTGTGTTTGTGTGCATCCTCTCTCTGCTCAGGTGGATGAAGAAACCCCGCTGTGGCGTCCCTGATCACCCCCACTTGAGCCGAAGGCGGAGAAACAAGCGCTATGCCCTGACCGGACAGAAGTGGAGGCAAAAACATATCACCTACAGGTGCTTTGACTTCCTCTCTTCCTCCCTGGCTTTGGTCCCATGCTCGCTGTTTCGCTACCCGACCTTCAGAGGCCCCACAGTAGGCAGTTTGGAGGTCAGGATGAGGGCCAGGCACACGAGCATCAGGCCCTGGTGCTGAGTCTGCACCTGTGTCTTCCTCATGGGTCCCACACAGTGCCGCCTCCTGCACCCGTTGATCTGGCCCTTTGAGGGCTTTTAGTTGTGTTCTGCCTGGATGCGTACAGTTTTGTTACAGAAAATAGGGTATTGGATTGTTCAGTGACTTTCTGCTGTGGTAATGGCCCACAACAGGACTCATTCTCCCAATCAGTGCTTGCTAAAGCCCACTGCCTCTCATCTGGATCCACTCCTCACCAGAATCAGCCGGACAGACCTCACCCAAGATTTCCAACAGAATCTTAGTTTATTTGGCCTTTCTTTCTTCTCTCTCTCTCTCTCTTTCTTTCTTTTTCTTCCAGTACTAGGCAACCCAGGGTTACTCTACCACTAACCTACATCCCAGTCCATTTTATTTTTTATTTTGAGACAGGCTGTCCCTAAATTGCCCAGGCTGAACTCAAACATGTGATCCTCCTGCCTCAGCCTCCCTCAGTACTGGAATTATAAGCGTGCACCACCATACCCAGCCTAGTTGTTTCTTAAGAAGTATAAAGAACAGGGAACTGAATTGTAACAGTGTTATTCCTCGACTGTCTGGGGGAATCAAGCCAGAGCAACATTAGCCTCCAAGCCTGACTAACAGACTGAGAGCAGGGATGATGAGCCTTATCAAAGCAGACTTAGACACAAGAATTCAAGTGGGGCCAGACAAGGGCCTGGCACAGGGCAGGGATAGGTGGCCTCTGCCTGGCACCTCTCCAGGCCCTGATTCCATCTCAGGTAGAGACCCTAGGTGCAGGGGCAAGACCTAAGCCAGAGGTTATCGAAGTTAAACAAAGGACTCCCTACACAAGCTACAGAGATCAGAACAAGACTTTTTTCAGAAATCTAATGAGAAGGAAACTTAAAAGGAATCTGGCATAGAAACTGCCCAGACTTTGGGTCTCCTGAAGCAACAGAGTAGATCAAAAACAAAACAAAACAAGAAAACCGCATTCTCAGCCAACTCCGACCTTAACATCTATTACTCAACTTCTCCGGGGCTGTGCTTCCTTGCTTATGGAACTGGTGAAGAATCCATGCCCCAGCCATTTATGGGGCAGCGCATCCACAGGTTCTGATGTTCTTTTGTGGAGAACCATGCAATATGGATATAGTAACCTTAAAGAGCTAAACACATGATGGATTAAATCAGTTACTGCCCTATGCCAGCTTCTAGACAAGTGATAGTTGGTACAAAATATTTTTAAGGATTTTTCACTTAAACTCATCTCTGCTGTCTGAATGTGTTTAAAAAAAATTTTTTTTTAAGTATCAGGGATTGAACCAAGTACTTTTGCACTGAGATACATTCCCAGCCCTCTTTAATTTTTATTTTGAGACAGGGTCTCTCTAAGTTGCCCAAGTGGGACTTGAATTTGCAATCTTCCTGCTTCAGCCTCAGGCCTCAGGCCTCAGACCTTGGTGCCCTGCACCATGACTAGCCTGTGACAGTCCTCTGCCTTGGAAAGAGCCCTCACTCACTGCAAAGAGTGAGGGACGCTTGACAGGGAGGAACCGACATTCCAATGCCCAAGCCAAATGCTGGGATTATAGGCAGTGCCAACACAGCCAGATTTTTTTTTTTCAGTGCCGGGAATCAAACACATTTCAGGCAAGCACTCTACCAACCTTATTTTCATAACTTTTATAAATGTATATATTCTATGTATTGGGAGAAAAACTTAAAATGTAGAGAATGCTATTTACCAACATATTTTTTCTGTATATTAGTGTAGAACCCTTTATTCAACACAAGCTTTGTCGGAGATAAAATAAAAACACTGATTAAAACAACGCCATTCTTACTGGCGCAAGGATGGGACCCAGCGGTCTTCCTGCTCAGCCCCTTCTGCACTGCTGGGGCAGCTCAGCAGAACCCTAGAACTCAGTGTGAGTGTGGGCAGTCCCCGGGGCCCTTCTGCCTCTGATGTCCTTTTTAGCTTTGCTTGTCTCTGGCTTTCTCTTCCTCCCTAATTATCCTCCCCTCTCTCACCAGCATTCACAACTACACCCCAAAGGTGGGTGAGCTCGACACACGGAAAGCTATTCGCCAAGCTTTTGATGTGTGGCAGAAGGTGACCCCCCTGACCTTTGAAGAGGTCCCATATCATGAAATCAAAAGTGACCGGAAGGAGGCAGACATCATGATCTTCTTTGCTTCTGGTTTTCATGGTGACAGCTCCCCATTTGATGGGGAAGGGGGATTCCTGGCCCATGCCTACTTCCCCGGCCCAGGAATTGGAGGAGATACTCACTTTGACTCAGATGAGCCATGGACGCTAGGAAACGCCAACCATGACGGTAAGGCCACACGGGGCTGGAGGGGTCAGTCCTGGGTTGCTCAGCTATCAGGGAAAGAAGCCCTGAGAAGAGCTTGGTGGACACCATAGATGAGATTCCTGCTTTGTAGCGCTTCTTGTCCGAGAACCAAGGAACCCAAGAGGATGGGAACTGTGGTCTCTGGCAGTATGCGACATGACACACCAGGCCCAGAACCCTGATCAGTCAGATCTCTGAGGAGGTGGTCTAACTGTGCCGAGGCAGACCTAGGCCATGAACAAGAAGACAAAATGATGTGTCAGAACCCGAGAAAAGGTACACAGGTGTTAAAGCTGAATCAGTCATGGGATCTGAAAGTGGCTCTGGCTCTGGCTACACAGTCACTCTTGACAGGTGCTATGATTACTTTAGTATCCTTGCATAACTTGTGATGCAGGCATCGCTAAGATTCAGAGAACATTCACAGAGCTGGAGTCAGTATTGTAGAGTCATAAAAACAATACCCTTCAGGTTGCCAAAGAGTTCCTCATACATATTTTATTCACAGTGCACTCGCTTAGTAAGTATGCAAGGCTACAATCATTATGTCCATTTTTAAGGCAGACTTCAGCACTCAAATGGCGGAGCTAGTAGGTGGCAGCACCAAGGTTCAAACTCTAGTTCAGCCACTTAGCTATGTGAGTAGGGACCAACAATTCACCTTCAGTTTCTTAGTGTGTAGAATAGGAGCTGTTTTAGGTGATCTCCAAAGTCCTTTCCAACTCTAATGTGACATAATACAAAGTCCTACAAAGATGGAGGGGCAGGGGTGGAAATATTAAAAGAAAAAAAAAAGAGATCTGGTCTCTGCTCTCCAGAAATCCAGAGACAGATGTGGACAAGAGTGGGCCTGCCACACGCAGACTGTACTTAAGGGCAGCAGAGGCCTCACAACAATACAGTGGTGGTCTGGAGGAACAAGACAGAGAGTTTGGCTTTTAGATTATAACAGATAACAGTTAATGGGTATGTCAATGTTCTAAGGTCCATGCCAAGTGGTTTCCACATATTATGTCAGAGGTAGATATTATCGTCCCATTTTGCAGGTAGGTATACTGAGGTTTTGGAAATCATTACATAACGTAAGTTTCCAAAATTGATGAGTGGTAAAATAAGGCTTTGAACCTGGGTATTATGAGCCTGGAACCCAGGGAATCACAGTAGCCTGGAATCCAGGGATGCAGGTGGTATGTACAAGATGGTGGAACACCTGCAGCAGGTGCACCGCAGGAATTGATCAGGCCACACGCAGCCTCCAGGTCCCACCGGACCCAGAGAATCACAGTAGCAAGAGAGTAGGAGCCTGGAATCTGTGTTCTCAAAAGTGGTTTCTAGGCAGTTCTGCACTTTGGAGAACACAGATTCCAGGCTCCTACTCTCTTGCTACTGTGATTGTCTGGGTCCGGTGGGACCTGGAGGCTGCGTGTGGCCTGATCGATTCCCTTGGTGCATCTGCTGCAGATGTTCCACCATCTTGTACTCACCACCTTCATCCCTGGAGTCGCCCTCCCTGCCTGATCATGAGAACCAACTGAGGGTCTTGTCAGAAACATGGGTTCCAGGCCCTTCTCCTGGAAAGCCTGATTCTGAAGCTTAAGCAAGTTTGGGAAACAGTAGGCATCTTTTTCTGCTGTAGGTGCTGCTTCAGGTTGTGAGCAGACTCTTCCAGGCTTACTTCCTTAGACGCCATGCCTGCTGTCTGCAGGTGGGAGATCACCACCACCAAGGGCTGGCACTTCTCAGCTTATCTGTGAAATGCTGGTTCAGAGAGCAGTTTGGCCACCCCTCGGCAGAGTAACAAAACTGTAAAATTTCTTTGTCTCTTGCCTACACAGCTCCATTTCCTTTGCCCTGGTATATCTCCCCTATATCCTGGACATGTTTCCTGCCTTTCTGTTTACCTACTCTTTATCTCATATTTATGTTTTGGTTGGTGTCAACAAATCACTGTCTGTGTGAACTGATAAGATGTAATGAGAAGAGAATCAACATTTTGAGACCCTGTTATGTGCCAGGAACTTTTAGCTGATAAGGATTCGGTTGTAGCTCTGATAGAGACAAGTGGATTTTCAAAGGCTTGTTGTCCAAAGAAGGTACTGGAAAGACATTCCTATCTTCTGCACCCTCTTTGGCCCAACACTGGGCAGTTGCACTCCCACACCCACTTGCTGCTTGAACTTGTTAAGCTCAGCCCCCAAATCCTAAGAATTGATGGTGTACATGAGCAGAACCCAGAACCTGTGGATGGGCATCATCCCAGCACGCCTCCCACCTGTCCCTCCCACCTTAGATGAAAGACTCCCCATCCTGATAGAAGTTCCAAGATAGCTAATGTCTTCTTTGGACAGGAGTCAGGCTTTTGCTTTGGAAAACCAGGCACAAATAAGATGCAGCTCATAACTACGGCAACAAACCCTTGGCTAGTGAGCTGGTGAATGTTGCCCCAGGATAGGTTTTGGAAAGAGAGGAAAGGAACCAAGATTTACTGAGCACTGGTATATTATCTAATTTAATTTCCACACAGACTCACAGGAGAGGAAGTGGGTTCTCCTGGGAACTTTTTGATTGTTGGCTTCCTTCTTTTTTCTAAACTTTCATTATGGGAAATTTCAAACTCACAAAGGAAGGAGAATGATTATGATCCCCAGGTACCCATCACCTGCTTTAGTGATTAACACTGTGTCATTCCTATTTCATCTGCCCCTTCCCAGTTTTATTTTTTGGCTGATGTGTGTTTTTTTTGTTGTTGTTGTTTTGGGGGGTTTTGCTGATGTGTTTTAAAGAAAATCCCATGTATGATATTATTTCACCTGTAAATACTTTGGTATATACTTCTAATGGACAAACACCTATTTTTAACATAACCACAAAGTCATTTTTAAACACAACATTAACAGCTTCCTAAAATTGAATCCAGTTTGTGTTCACTTTTCTAAATTACTTCATGCCCATCTCTCTCTTTTTTTTTTTTTGGTCTGGTACTGGGGATCGAACGTAGGACCTTGTGCTTGCCAGGCAGGCGCTTATGCTGCTGAGCTATATCCCCAGCTAAATTACTTCAAAGATGTCTTGTGCAGTTGTTTGACTGCATCGGGATCCCAGCAAGACCCACATTCCACATAGGACTGACTTAAAGCTTTGCAGCATAATAGCCACACACATCTATGCACATTTCCCTTCTTGTGCTAGAGAAACTGGGCTGTGTCCTGAGTGTGATCATTTGGCTTGACTAGGTACGGTTGCCCTTTTTTCCCTGGGGTGGAGCCAAGGGCCTTGCATGCCCCCAGGCTTTTTTAACCTGTGCCTCATCCCCACGATTCTTGAATACTGGTAATCAGATCTGCTCGTATGACTAGATTCAGGTTCACCTTTCCGCAGGAATCCTTCCTCGGTGGTTCTGGGACTTCCACTTACCATCTTGGGGAGCACATATGATGCACACACACTGTCCCACTTTTAGTGATGTTTTAAGGTCAAATAGTTTCTGGTTGTGTCAGACTGACCCTGCCATGGTATAATTCACCCCTGGAACAAGAAAAAGAAAGAGGAAGAGGAAGCGGGGAGGAAGAGTTGTTCACATCCTAGCCCAGACCTCCTAAATCAGAATCCTCCCTGCCTGGGGGCTTAAAAGGCTCCCTGGAGGACCACTGGGTGGTAAGGTGGGTCTCGTTCCCCAACTCACTGGAGTCTGTGACGGGGCAGGCTAGTCACTACACCTTTGAGCTGGTTTCTGGGGCTACTTCCAGAAACTTCCTCTGCCCTCATTTCTTCCAAATGAGTCAACCAGTGAAGTCAGCAGATAACACTACACTGCACTGGTGAGGGAGCTCAGCCCTCCACTCCTCCTGCACAGGGAAAGGTGACAAGACAGGAAGAGCTGTCCTAGCCATCCTCTGCTTCACAGGACAGAGCCCTTCTGCACTTATGTCACTAACTCTGCCTCCAGCTGGGGAGGCAAGGACTATCGTCTCCATTTTACAGATAAGCAAAGTGAAGTTCTGCCAAGGGTTTAAGAAATTCACATAGTTGATAAACCTGGGACTTCCCATCTCTAAAAGCGCCCCCCCCCACGGGGGTGGGTTTCTGCTGCAGGTGGCCCAAGAACCACACTTGGAAAAATACTGAGTTTTTGGTACTGTTCCATGCTAGATGCCGTCAGGCTCAGAGTTTGCCCCCAGGGTGATCACATCCTGAGTGTGCACTAACAACTGTAATTAATGCAGGCTGGAAAGGGGCCACTGCCTGCAGACACTCTGGAGAAAATGCTGGCCGAGTGTGCGGAGGCAGCACTTGGGCCAGCCAGGAGCTCCAGGCAGGCTTCCTGGGAGATAGGTACTTCAGGGTGTCCCTGTGAAGGGCAGCACTGGCAAGAGAACAGAGGCAAAGGACACAACTTTGGGGGTTAGGGGAGTCAGGGAGACAGAGGTCCTCACCAAAGAAAGAGGTCCTAAGAAAGGAATGAAGCAGCAATAAGGTGTACTGGCATAGCCAAGCAGACTGTGCTAAGACACCCAGGGACTTCCAGGAACACTCACTCCTGGGGTTGCTGGTCCTTACACAGCTCACCGTGACCCTGCTAAGTAATAGTGATACTTTATACCAGAAGCTTTACATACATTGCGTCATTAGTCCTCACTGCCATTCTTATGAAGAAGGTACTATCATTCCCTTCATTTTGCAGAGGAAGAGACATCAAATATCATACTGCTAGGACAGGCAGAGCTGGGACTTGAAGCCAGGCTGACCACTCTGCTTCCTGTCTCCTTGCTTTTTTGGGGAGTGAGACCCTAAGAATCTCCTACTCATGAGGCACTAGGGTCTTCATAGCAGGGCTCCTTCTGGTACCTCTGCTTTTCCCTCACAAAGAGTTTTCCCGCCCCCCGCTTTCCCTTTCCTCCCCAAAGCTCTCTGTGCTGGAGGATGGCAGCTCCCCAGCTCTTCTCTTCCTTTTATCCCTGGACCAGACTTATAGCCTTCTTCTTTCAGAGGCTGCTGCTGTTTTTTGTAGACTCAGGTACAGGCTGAGTAAAGACTGAGAGTCTACTCAGCACTCAAGAGGGCTGCTCCCTGGGTCCCTAACATCCCTGTGGATGGCCTTCAGGGAGGAGCCTGGCCAGGAGACAGAGGCCCTGAACAGCTTGTCCCAGGTCGAGGAACAGGCCGGGAACAGAGCCAGGCAGACCCCAGGAAACAGACCTGCCTTCCGCTACCTCTAGCAGCCACCTTTGTTTGGGATGGAGCTCAGAGATGAGCTCACGCCTCCCCACTGCCAGATGGACCAGGACCTGAGGAAGGAGCTGGGGGTGGCCAGGCCTTCTCCTGCCAGCCTGCCCTTCCTAGCAGAAGGCCAGCCCCAGGCTTTTGGCCAACCTTGTGCTGATCTTGCCCATCCTCCCTCCTTTCCGTTGCTCACAGGCAGCTTTGCTGAAAATACTGGTGATGTCATTGGAATGGCAGGCTCAAACTTCCTGGGGCCTGGGTCTGCCCCATGGGGCTCTTCTTTACCCAAGACCTTGGCAGAAAGGTCAAACAATTCCCACCTCCATCTACCTTCATGGGCACTGGCTGGGCTAGAGGAGGGGCAACTTTTCCAGGGATGCTGGGGCCAGGATAGACCTCAAAAGCCTCCCTGGATTTATAGGTGGCAGAAAGGGGCTGAGTCATACCAAGGGCTAAGAGATCAGAGGCAGAGTTCAACAGGCACGCAGGGGTCTATACCTGGGCAAGCGGGACCCAGGACTGTCTATACAATGCACTGCCCAGTTCCCTGCCCCGGCATTTCTTTTCTAAAACTGAGATTACTTAATCCTGCCAATTTCAGGCCTTGCTCTTCTAAGACAGAAGCTCAGGGGAGCTGACTTTAAGAGGATCTGGTTGCTGGAGCCACTGGCCCTCTGCTTCCTTTTGGTCAGTGAACTTGTTCCACGGACCAAGCCTCTGTCTATGTATAGTAGCAGCAGTGGCAGGCACTCAGGGCCGCACTACTTTATCATTGCTGTCTTAGAGGTAGGCATGATTCCCCGGTTTCGCAAATGAGGACACTGAAGCTCAGGGAGTCGGCGCACTGACCATGCTCACAAAGCTGGTAATTGTAGAGCTGGAAACGAAAGTGCCCTTGCCCACCCCAGAGATGCCCAGAACCACCATGTCACGCTACCACCTTGCTTTCACGCTCAGGATCCTCTGTCCCACTTTCAGCACGTGGATTGTGTCTCCACTCATACTTGAATCCTAGCCTTGATCTTGGCTTGCGGTTCAGTTTTTCCAAGACTGTAGTCCTGGTAACTGAGAGCTGCCCTGCACCCAGTGCCCTCCTTGCCCTGGGTCTCCCAAAGCTAAATGCCAGCCAGCGACCCCCAGGACTTTCTCTAGTTGTCCCCACCCCTACCATCTTGGCTCAGGTCCTCTTCTTCTCCCACCTGGACCCTGATACTGGCTTCAGAACTGATCCCACTGGTCCCCCTGCCTCAGGTCTCATTCCCTCTAATCCTTCCGCCAGTGCAGCCAGGGTGATTTCATCCCCACTCCAACTCCACTCCTGCCTACACCCCCACCTGGCCAAGGAGCCGATCCAAATTCCTTTGTAGGGCTCCACAGAGCCGTTTGCCAGCCTGGCTGACCTCATCTCTCTCAGGCCCTCCCCTCGTGCTTTGTTCCAGAGCCAAGTGGATGACACTGCTTGTCCATGGGCCTGGTTTACAGCATCCCCTCTGCCAGGAGTACCAACCCCTTCCTCCCCTGAATTCATTCTCCTGAGCAGCTTCTTACCTTTGAAGTCTCACCCTCAGCCTCACCTTTCAGAAGCTTTTGCTAAGCATCTTCCTCTAAGTGTAAATGACCTCTTTTTCCTCAGAATCCCCCCCGCCCCCGCCCCTTAGAGACATCTGGTACAGTACCCAGAATGCTGTGTCACATATGCTGTTTCTCTCTCCACTCTACTGAGGGGTCTGGACGGCAAGGATTGCATCTGATTTCTTTATATGTTCCTAGTGTTCTGTACAGAAGGCATACACTCAGTATTTTCTCAAGTAGTGGACTGACGGACTGATACCCTCCTATGTCCCTTCCCACAGGGAACGACCTCTTCCTGGTGGCTGTGCACGAGCTGGGCCACGCGCTGGGACTGGAGCACTCCAACGACCCCAGTGCCATCATGGCACCCTTCTACCAGTACATGGAGACACACAACTTCAAGCTGCCCCAGGATGATCTCCAGGGCATCCAGAAGATCTATGGTGTGTGACAGGGAAGCGGGGCCAGTGCTCCTTCCTCAGGGCTGGGTAGTAGCTGCCTTGCTGTCAGGGGTAGGTGTGGGGTGGGAAGCCTTGCCGTCCGTCAGCATTGCCGATGTGTCTGTGCCTGTGTGCCAACCTTCACTAGGCTGCCCGGGAACACTTGAGAAGCCCAGGGGAGGAGCTGGGAGGGACAGAGGTGAGGAGAGGCCACCCACTCTCTCTTCTCTACCTTCTCCCCTTTCGCAGACCTCCCTCCCGCCTCCTATGCTCCATCCCCTCCCTTACCAGGTGGTGCCTGGGTCCCTCCTGGGAACCCCCTCTAGCCAAGGACGGCCACACATGTGCCTGAGTAATAGTGATACAATGTGATAGGTAGCATAGCGAGAGTGTTGATCTTAAAAAAGAAAAAAATGAGAAGCTAGGCTGCCATCTTGGTAAGATATGAAAGGCCTTCCACCACCCCTCTCTCCCAGCTCAGGCCACGCTAGCCTGTGCAGCTCTTGTTCTGGTCAGTCAGTACAAATGGGAAGACCCATTTATTTGAATAAATGCTTGTCAACATAGCATAGGCCCAGGCAGTAGAGCACAGAAGCAGGGCTCCCTCTGGAAGAAGTGCCCCAACCGGAACCCTGGACCTCAAGAGGTAAGGCGGCGGGGGAGGTGTTGGTGGAGGCAGCAAGTACCAGGCAGTATTGCAAAGGTAGAATGGACAGTATCTGCTGACAGAGCAAATGTGGGGTGAGGGGAAGAAGAGGGCCAAGGACAACACCAGTAGTTCTCCCTTTTGTAATCGAGGGCCAATAGACTTTACCTATCTGACTTCAGATCTTTAGTCTTCAATGTAACAGCCACTAGCCACAAATGACTATTGAAATTGAAATGTATATTACTTAATCGAAAGTTTCAGTTCCTCAGTTACATTAAAAACTAGTCACTTACTTCAACAGCTCCATGGCCACACAGGCCTGTGGTTGGAGGCTACCGTGTTGGACACTGCAGATACAGGACATTTTCATCATCATGGATCAGCCTATCGGACAGCGCTGATGTACACAGTCTGTAAAGCCATGAGCAGGGATGAGCCACTCAGAGTAGTGATTCTCAATTTGACCACCCACTGGAATCACCTTGGGATCCAAATACAAAACACTGACACTCAGCTGTCATCTCAGAGATTTGGGTTGGTTGGTCTGGAGTGATTCCTGAGCACCTGGAGTTTTAAAAGCTCTCCCAGGTGATCCTAATACGCAGTCCAACTGGAGAGGAACCAATTTAGTGATGAAAGAACATGTCAAGATTGAAGAGAAGAGGCCCCAGGGCACTCCAACCTTTAGGGTAGGGTAAGACAGCACCCCCCCCCCCGCCCACATGCACACCCACAGAGGAGGCTGAGAGGGAACCACTGTGGAGGAGGCAGGAAAACCAAGAGTGTCGAGCTCTGGGAAAGAGGAGCATGTTTCAAGACAAGTTTCTGGATTCTTGCTACTGAACTCGGGGGCCTCACACTAATAACATCAGTGTCACCTGAGACCTCAAAGACATGCAGATCTCTGGCTCCACCCCAGGCCCTTTGAGTCATAATTTGCATTTTGTCAAGATCCCTAGCCGGGTAGAAAGTGGAGACAGGAGGGTCACTGGGAGTTTGAGGCCAGCCTGGGCTACATAGTGAGTTCAAGGCCAGCCTGAACTGCATAGCAAGACCCTGTCTCAAAAAAAATCCCTATTTATATGCTCAAAGAAAGTTTGAGTCACTAACTGTTGGACTACAGCATGGTGGTCATTGGCGATCTTGGCAAGTGGCTTGGGTGGGAAGCAGGACAGAAAGAGTGCTGGAGTGCACTGGGAAGTGAAGGGTGGTGAGAAAGTGGGGCTGGCACGTATGAAGAGGAGCAGAGAAAGAGGGCGTGGGTTGCAAACGATAAGAAAGAACAGTTCGTTCTTGCAGTGGAAGAGAAAGTACTAGATTTGGGGGTGGAAAGATGAGCATCCCCATTTAGTGGCTGTTTTCATTTATTTTCTCAAAAATTGGGGGAGTTAAGTCAGGGAGAGGGGACAGGAGGCTGGAAGGGGACAGACTTGACCAGGGGCTGCCTGGGTGGTGACAAGGCAACGGCAAAATGTGGTAAACAACAACCGGCCCCCTCTGAGATTTAGCCCCTCTCTCCAGGACCCCCAGCCGAGCCACTGGAGCCCACGAGACCCCTCCCCACGCTCCCAGTCCGCAGGATCCACTCGCCGTCTGAGAGGAAGCATGAACGTCAACCCAGGCCCCCTCGTCCCCCCCTGGGGGACCGGCCATCCACACCAGGCACCAAACCCAACATCTGTGATGGCAACTTCAATACAGTGGCCCTCTTCCGAGGCGAGATGTTTGTGTTCAAGGTAGGGATGGTTGACTGGTGACACCCAGGTGGTCCCCATCCACTCCTCCCGCAACAGGGAGCCAGGGAGGCTTCTACTCTGAAGTAAGCTGCCCAGGCACCTGGACAGAAGCTGGCCCAGTGGCCAGGACCCAGGGTCTTTTTCTGGTGCTGCTGGATACATTGTTTCCAAGAGGCAAAGAGGGAAAACTGGTGATGCCACACTTATCCAGGGGTTAATGCCGGGGAAAGTGCTGCTGGAAATGGCTCTGGCCTGTGACGTCCAGCAGGTCACCACCTTTCTCTGGACCTGAATTGTCCACCTAAAACCTAGAGGGTCATTCCTCTAACAGAGGGTATGTGAAGACCAAATGTATGCAGGCTTGGGTGGGAGCTGGGTCAGCAGATCCTGCCAGGGCCTGAGATACTGCCACTGGTCAGGCTATATCTTATCACCTGTCCTGTGCCCGTCACTTTAGCCAAGGACTGACTAGGCACTAGCCTGCATAGCATGATGCAGGCTGGGTCCTCGGGAGTGGACTGTAGGTTTGGAACGCAGCGCTTTGGTCATGGAGTACCTTTGGGATCAACAACCATGGACAGGAGGAAGGGAAGCAGGGCAGGGCAGAGGGAAAAGCTGAGCAGCAACCTAAGCCTGTTGCAGACTTGACCACCCAGCGGGGCACTCTGGGGCTAGAATCACCCCATTGGTCATCCTACACTGGACGCCAAATGGCAGGAAGTTCATATCCCTTGTTTCATTCCTGAGGGAAGCTCTTTGAAACTGAGGCCATTCCTAGAGGGGCTGACAACTGAAAACTGCTTGCTGCTGCACGCCCAGCCACCAGAGCAACAGCTTCACCAAAAGGGATCCGGGGAGAGTGTCTCCATCACACTGGGTGGCTAAGAAGGGCTGCCCCCTCCCCCTGCAGAGGTCTCCCCAGCAAGCTTCGAGTGCTGAGCATCAGGTGATGTGGATCAGCCTCAGCCCTGCCTCTCACTGAGTGGCTCCAGACATGTCACTTGGCTCTTTTTTAGACTCTCGGTGTCTCATATTGACTTAACAGAGTTGTGAAAGTCAAAACAAGGTTAGAAAATGGACCTGGAGGTACTTGGTAAAACATCTTAAAAAGTGTTAGCTTTGGTACCATCTTTCATGAATCGTGTTCCTTCTTCTGCAGTTCTGTTGTTTATTGTTTTTGTTTTTGGACCCTCCCAAATGAACTGTTCCTGGGCAAATGTAGATTTTTCTCATTTCCATTTACCACACTGGTCTTCCCACCAGCCTGAGGTCTGGCTCTCCGATGCCCTCCTGTGGCAACTCAAGGGCCCGGCGTCCTCCTTTCCAGCTTTTCCACACCTCTCCCACGCCAGGACTATCTGCTGTCTGTCTTACGGTCCCTGAGGCAGCAAGAGACATCAGGAGGCTTAAATGAAGACTTACATGAGCATTCTGTCCTCCTCTGGGAGTTGGAAGCAGCAGATGGACAGACTCCACAAAGGGTTGCAAGGCTGGGCCCAGCGGATGGTGTTGGGTTGTTGGGCTTGAGCCCAGGACTGAGATCACTGGGTCCACAGGCAGTGCCTGCCACGTCTCTTTCTCTGCTTTTCCCCCAGGACCGCTGGTTCTGGCGCCTGCGCAATAACCGGGTGCAGGAGGGCTATCCCATGCAGATTGAGCAGTTCTGGAAGGGCCTGCCTGCCCGCATAGATGCGGCCTATGAAAGAGCTGATGGAAGATTTGTCTTCTTCAAAGGTAACGTAGTCTGTGCTGTGGGACCTGGGACATTTCCTTGCCCTTTTAGGGACCCCATTTTTCCTATCCTGGAGAGGTGGTGTGGGAGGCAGAAGCCCTCCAAGGGCCTTTCTAGGCCTAACAGAGACCCTGACCTCTGACAGGACAAACCCCTTCAGGCAGGCAGCGCAGCAATGGGGGCATCCTGTCAGGGAATGGTTGGTGAAAGTCTGTATATGTGAAGGCTGCAGGGTGACAGACTCCACTCACATAAAGTAAAGGGTGAGACAGCCAACTGAAAACTACTCAACACTCAAGGGAAGGCCGCTCTCTGAGTTCTGGAAGAGCCCAGAGGGAGCAGGTCGCACAGGGGAGAGGGAGCTGACATGCCCACCATGGGTCCAGCACTGCGCCAGGTTGTTTCATGTTGATCATCTTGACTTGGCCAGGCCCAAGAGAGATAAGGTAAGATACGGACAGTAAGAAGTGAGGAAAGCACACAGGGCGATGGAGCAGCATGGGTAAGGCAGGGGTGGGATGTGCAGTTGAAGAGTTTAGAAGTCCCAACCAACAGCTATCCAGGCCCCACCCTGGAGAGCTATGTGGCGAGGCCTGGGATGGAAAGTCATATGGAGGCAAATCCTGAGGAGCCTTGATTGCTAGGTGGAATATGGTCTGAACCCATTACGCCTATACAGGAAATCCACTGCATGTTTCTGAACAGCACAGAGACACAGCACAGGTGGTGAAACAATAGTACAAAGGCAGGGAGGTTGTTTTGGAGGTGGTTGCTGGACTCAAGAAGAGCACTGTCCATGAGGCCCAACTGGGGAGGAGCTGGGCAGCCAGAGGACAGGGAACAGCTATGAGGAGATTTAAAAGGACTTATGGGGCCAGGTATATAGCTCAGTGGCACAGCGTCTGCCTGGCAAGCAAAGGGTCCTGGGTTCAATTCCTGGTACCAAAAAAAAGAAGGACCTATAAGTGGCAGAATACTGAGATGGGAATGAAAGACATGGTCAAAACTGATGCCAGGCTGGACACAGTGGTGCTTGCCTATAATCTCAGGTACTCAAGAGGCTGAGACAGGAGGATCACCAAATTTAAACCCAGTTTAAACAACTTAGCAAGACAAAATAAAAGAATAAAAAGAGGGTGGGGGTGTGACTCAGTGGTACAACTGCCTAGTATTCAGGAAGTCCTGGGTTTAAGCCCCAGCACCACAGAAAATAAAATAAAAAGGGCTGGGGATGCAGCTCAGTGGTAGGGTACTCACCTAGCATGTACGTATGATGGTGCTGGTGTGCCAGATCTTTTTATTTGGGACCTGAGGAGGCAGAAAGGTGATGAGGAGGAAGTTCCTCTCTGGCCCAGTTGAAGAGTTCTGGGAAGCCTATTTGAAGCTGCCAGGGCCATTGGAGATCAGAGTCTATGAGGCGGTGCCCAGGCCCAGCATGAGAGTAGCTGTGAGCTGTACTCTCAGAGCTAGGTGACACCAGTAACAGGTTGGGGGGTAGTGTGTGACATCACAGGAATGGCTAAGATCATCAGAGAGGAAAGAATAGCAAGTGAAGAGGTGGCTTACTGCCCGGATCTGACTGGCTTCTGGCGTCAGGCTTCTTGACCCCAAGCTCTGCCAGGGCCAAGGGGCTAAGGGGGCTGACACTCTGGCTCTGTGAATGAAGATGGCCAAGTGACTCTGGCCACAACCTGCGGCACTGAGTGGCTAGGGAAGACCGACTCTGGGCTCCTCTTTCCACAGGTGACAAGTACTGGGTGTTTAAGGAGGTGACGGTAGAACCTGGGTACCCCCACAGCCTGGGGGAGCTGGGGAGCTGCCTGCCCCGTGAAGGCATCGACACAGCTCTGCGCTGGGAGCCTGTGGGCAAGACCTACTTTTTCAAAGGCGAGCGGTACTGGCGCTACAGCGAGGAGCGGCGGGCCACAGACCCCGGCTATCCCAAGCCCATTACCGTGTGGAAGGGCATCCCACAGGCTCCCCAAGGGGCCTTCATCAGCAAGGAAGGGTGTACGTAAGGGCTGGGCCCCGCTGGGGGTGGGGGCTGTTTTATGTGGTTCTCAGGACTCTGGACATATCCTCAGAGAGCTGTTTGAGAAACACTAGCTGGTAGCAGGAAATTGCCCCCTGTACCCACGTTCACACAGTACCTCAACTTGCTTACCAGCTACCAGGGCACCAGTTTCATCTACAGGGATGATTCACAGCTGAGAGTTTTCTCGGACTGACTACATCCCTTCAGATAGCATTTCTCACTCATCTGTAGGTATCACTTAGGTGTTTCCTCAGGTGGTCAAGTCTGAAAAACAGTGAACGGTAGGGGTGGTCCAGAGGTACTTTTTATACAGGGTTTGAGAGCAGAGAGCTGAAGAGAGAAGCTTTTAAATTGTAAGATACTTCCTAAGCTTCTCCTGGAGACTGAGCCTGGCAACCAATCACTGTGGCTGCCATCGGGCACTCAGCTGTATGCCCACCAGACCAGATTCTTAAGAGGAGAGGTTCGTCCTGCCAGGTACAGAGCAGGCATCCGTGATTATGGGTTGATCTGGTCAAAAGCACAGACGCTTGAATCAGGCTGGCTAGGTTCACACACTACCTGCCTGTTTCTATGAAAGTGAACAACTCATTTTAGATTTCTCAGTCTCATCTATAAAATGGGGATGATAATGGCATTTTAAAATAATGGCTTTGTGAGAATTGAAAAAATTACACAAGCATTTAGCATAATGCCTTCCACATGGTCTACAGTATATGGGTTTTAGCTGCTACCATCATCATCTTATTGGCATGTTTTAGTAGAAGGGTAGAATTTGTTCATTCACGCTACAAAATACTGAAACCAGTTTGTGTGGGAGAGGCTGGGAATATAGCAGTGAGCAAGACTTGCATAGCTCTCAGTCTAGTGGCAGAAAATAAATAAGGTGGCAACAAAAAGCTAACAGGGAAATAAGTGCTATGAGACAGGAACTAGGCAGAAGACTTCATATTAGAGACCATGGTGAGGAAGGGCTCTCTGAGGAGGCATCACCGTTTCAAAAGCCAGTGGCCACACAGGCTGAGCTGCTATTTGCTGGCTGTCTTGTGCACCAGATGCTCTACACACGTGGTCCTCCCTTTCTGGAGAGCCTCAGAGACAGGTGACATCAAGGATCTTGACCAATGAAAGGCCCAGCCAGGGTGGGGAGCTAGCCAATGACGAGAGTTGGAGTGAGTTGCTTTGCTGTTAGTGGACTGGCTGGGCTGCTAGGGCTGTTGCTGGGAGCTCAATGAGTGACTAGCAGGGCTTTCCAGCCCACTCGCTCACTTTTTTCCTCCCAGCCTTCCCTGAGAAGGGTCCCAAACACCCTCCATCTGTGTTGTGAAGTGGTATGTGTGAAGCAAAAAAAAAAATCCATAATTTGCAGGGAGGTAGTATCTACGCTCAACAGGAGAAATCTTGCTCTCTGGCTCTGTTGGCCCAGGTAGGAGCTGGCCTGAGGCCCTAGAATTATGGAAAGGGTGCTGTCCAAGCCTTAAAATGGGGGCATGACCTGACATGGGAGCCTGTGGGCACAGTAGGAGAGCTGCATCTGCACTGAGAATGGTCCTTTCTGGGCTATGAACCACGTCTCAGGTCTTCTTAAAGCTCTCAGTTTCGCAGCATTCTTGAGCTGATTGGTGGATGGCTCCAGGACCTCAGCGTCCCTTTCTGCAGCTGTGTTGTTTATTCTGCAATCCAGCCAAGCACTACATTACCCCACCTCCAAGGTTCCAACAGACTGCTCCCTCCACCTAACACACCACCCCCTCCTTCCCTCCTGCACACTGACCCAGGGCGGGTGCTGGGAAGTGTCTGAGAGTGGTGATGCTGGCCTTATTTCTGCAGATTACACCTACTTCTACAAGGGCCGGGACTACTGGAAGTTTGACAACCAGAAACTGAGCGTGGAGCCAGGGTACCCACGCAACATTCTGCGAGACTGGATGGGCTGCAACCAGAAGGAGGTGGAACGGCGGAAGGAGCGACGACTGCCCCAGGACGATGTGGACATCATGGTGACCATCAATGATGTGCCAGGCTCTGTAAACGCAGTGGCCGTGGTCATCCCCTGCATCCTGTCCCTTTGCATCCTGGTGCTGGTCTATACCATCTTCCAGTTCAAGAACAAAGCAGGCCCTCAGCCTGTCACCTACTATAAGCGGCCAGTGCAGGAATGGGTATGAGCAGCCCAGAGCCCTCTCTGTCCACTCGGTCTGGCCAGCCAGGCCCTTCCTCACCAGGGTCTGAGAGGCAGCTCTGGCCACTGCCCACTGGGGCCAGCAGGGCCTTAGGCCAGGATCGTACAGCTGAAGTAGTGGGTGTGTTGACCTAGGCTGAGGGCAGGGAGTGATGGGGGCTGGGCCCCAAGAGAGCATCTGGCACCTAGGTGCCAGCCTTCTATCCTGGGTGAAATATTCTCAACACAAGAGAATAGACTAGGCCTCGCCAGAAGGCAGGGACTGTGCCAGGAGTCCCTGTGGTCACTGAATCCCATGGTATCTATGAGGCACCACAGCTCCAGTCCTGGCTGGGACCTAGCACTCTCCATGGGAAGCCAGCACTAGCTCTCATCCCCCATCTGGGAGATGGCACCAGTTCCAGTCCCCTTCTGCCAACACCTGCTGGTCAGATGTCCCCCTACCCACCCCAGCCCTCCTGTCCTCCAAGGCTACAGGACCCCTGCCGCCAACAGTGGACAATAAGCCTGGGGTCTCCCCACTGGCAAACAGCAGATCCCTCACAAAACCTGCTGTACTCGTCAGGTCTCCTCTGAGACCCAGGATTTAGGGTCACATGCTGCAGGCAGGGCTGTGGCCCAGCTGGTTCTGACAAGGACACAGCTGTCATGTCGTGAATATTTTAATGTCCTGTCACTGCTGTTTAAAGTCCCATTTTGCAAAGGCTGCTTGAGGCATTAGGTAAATTAGCGGTGACTGTCTTGGTGATGAGGCCAAGGTGGTGGCCCTCCCCCAGGTGATAAGGTCCAAGGTGCTCCTAAGGCCACAGTAGCGATCTAACACTAGCTGGGGCCCTGCCGTGAGGCTCAAAAGCCAGGGCAAGAGCTGACCCCGTTTCTGGAGGCTGATCCAAGTTTGTGACCATCCTCCAATACCCGCTCCATTAACCCTCTCCCCAGCTAGTCAAGTAAGGCAGAATGGCTCCAGGGCCACCACTGTCATGGCCTTGGCGTAAAGGGCCCAGAGCAGCCTTCTTAAATACTCAACACCCAGGCCCCCAGCTACCCTGAGGCATCTCGGTCTCAGCCTGGAAGCTGTTATGCCATGAGCTTGGCCCTGGCAACCTAGCTCACTGGGCCCCTCTTCCTGCACTGCTCTTAGGAAAAGGGTACCTCCAACTGGTAGCAGCTCCAAGCCTAGGGGCTTCCCTTTATGACTTTCTCGGGCCCACCGTTCACTTCTGGCAGGAGTTCCTAGGGCTCAGCTTTCATTGCTCCAGCTCAGCAGACAGCACTGCTTGTCACTGAGGAGCCCTAGGGAAGACCAAGGGTGCAGTGACATCTACAGGCTCTCCACCAAAGCCAAAAAGTGTCAGGCAGTCTTCTGGGTGCTGGCAGGGTCTCAGATGCCATTCCTGCCCTCTGAGCCCACATGGGTCTTGCCCCCACCCTGTGGCCTCTGGGCCTTGGGTTGGCCTACCCTGTAGCACAGACAGGGACTCCTGCTACCCTGTGAACTGTCCTGAGTTAAATCTATGGTGCCAGAGGCACCTATGTGGGTCCACTTTGTCCCCTGTCATCATCATCTTTTTTTCTTTTTGGCCAAGGGCAGGCTCCCTGGGGCAGGCAGGGAACAACTGCAAAGATATTAGTGATTCATAGGTTTGTACAGTGTTTTATACTTTGCAAAGCACTTTATTAGCTCACACCTGTCCAACTCACATAAAATTTGTGTAGGCCCTGGGAGGTCGAGGGTAACTCTCATCATGCCCGCAGATGAAGCATGGAGAGGTTCTGCTACTTGCCAGGGCCATCCAGAGGGCTGGCTGGGTCTTGTGTCTCCATCTGTGGACCCCTCTGAGGTCTGAGATAGTGTGTCCTCTATCCATCTCTTCCTGGCTTCCCTTCCCCACCCCTCCCTGGCCCCTCTCCACTCCTCAGGTTGGTGCTCTCACTTCCTGAAAGCTCTAGGCCCCGCCTCCCAGGCTCCTATTGGCTCCTGGTACTACAAGGCCAGCAGAGAAAGAGCGGGAGATGGAGGCAGGCAGCCCAGACTGCAGATGTGAGGCATGCGGGGCCAGGCCCCAGAGAGGGCTTAGCCTGGAGGCTTCCAATCTTGGATTCTCCTGCCTCTGGTCATCTGTTTGTTCATCACCCCAGGACAGGGCAGTCAGACAGAGGGGCAAAGCACTGGTAGCTAAAGAGCCCAGCTTTCCCTCAGCCTGGGGAACATCACAGCATTTCAGTGTCGGTCACATTTTAAACTGATCAGCCTTTGTATAATGTTTTTTAAATCATTTCTAAATAAAACAGAAAGACAGAGTGTGTCATTTCTCTGGGGTATGGGAACAAAGGTCAAGTTTTCTTTTCTTTTTTTTTTTTTTAAGATCACGTTCTAAGAAGTGCCTTACAAAGCCTCAGGGTACTCTGGGGTGTTTCAGAGCTACCCCAAATATCATCTGCTCTATCAGCAATCAGACATCCTCCCTCTCCAAAAAGGGTGGGGAGAAATTCCCTTAGGAGGAGCATGGGTCCTTCTTGGTGGTCAGCTGGTTAGTCTACTGCAAATATCTATCCCTTCTGTACTGCTGCAAATATCACTGGTTCAATAAAGGAATTGATAATGCCCCCCCCCCAATAAAAACAGGAGTATGGGAACTCTCACAGGCAAATACTCTTCTGAGCTCAAGACACAGGGTGCCATAACCTGGGACACAGGAAGGGGCTCAGTTCTAGCAATAAGGGTCAGGCAGGCCGGGAGTCAGCAGCCACAGGATCTTACCAGAGGGCCTGGCCTGGTTCTGGTTCGGGGAGGGCTGGCCCCCGACAGCTGGAGAGGGCAGGGGGTGAACACAAAGGTCAGCGCTGGGTTGGCTGCTGGCCGGCAGGCAAACAAGTTGGGGATCGGATGACTGGTGCCCACAGGCCCCGGCCGACCTCTTCGGGTTCTCTGCCCATCTGCGGGGATCGGAAGAGACACGGGGCCGAGGGAGAAAAGAGGCCAGCCCGCCCAAAGCTGCAAGAAGGCTGGGGCGGCAGAGTCAGTACCAGGAGGTGCAGGCGATGAGGAAGCGCACGTCTTCCAGCGGCCCCCAAGGGCTGGGCTCGGGCTCCGGTTGGGGCTGGGGTTGGGGCTGGGGCTGCTCCGGGGGCGCTGGCACCAAGGGCTCCGGCTGCGTTGGCTCAAGGGTGCCTGGGCCGCCACTCAACTGAGCACCCATGGTCTGCGGGACAAGAAGACCGTCAGGGTCGCGCCGTCAGCACCTGCCCACCGAGTCCCCCACACCAACTGCACCCTCACCTCAAGTAGCCGGGCCAGTCAGCAGAATCCCACCGCGCAGCCGGGCTGGAGCCGCCTCCTGACGTCACCGCGTACGAATACGTCACCCCGCGCGTCACGGACTTTCTCCGGGTGGAAACGAAAGGTCCCAGCCGGGGGCGGAGCCACTAGCACAGCGCCCCGCCCCGCCCCGCCCCGCCCCGGCCCCCAACACTCCGCCCTGTCTAACCAGGAACGGCCGCACAACCTCTGCCTGCCAGAAGCTTCCCACCCACTTGGCTACAGGGACCCTGGCGGCCAGGGCAGCCACATACATCCACCTTCGGTCACAAAGGACAAGAATAACCCGAGGTGGGATGTAAAAGATGGAAGAGATCTCTTCTTACGGAGATCAAAGAAGACCAAAACAAGTTAAGTGGAAAATGTGAGAACAGAGGGGGGTGCTTCTTCCTCTCGCCCTGGATGAAGCCTCCTGTTGATGACGGAGAAGACTGTGTGTATGTCTCCCTTTCAG